ACAGCAGAAAATAAATAAAGTCAAAGACTCAGCGGTCCTGTTGCTCTATTTTCACCTGTAAAGCAGGAGTGCGGTAGGCCGAGGTTTACCCTGGTGCGGGTGTGCCGCAGCGGTCAGTTGAAGAATCCGCGAGTTTCTCTGTGAGTTTCCCATTACGTGGTAGCGCACTCGGTGCTTGCTCGGAAGTTTAGGGGGTTTTTTTTGCTGTAAAAAGAAGTATTCTTCCCACGCACAACGGACACTAATGTTTTTGTCACTTTTTATGGAATCAAACTCAAAGTAAGGTCAGTACTTCCACGCTTTAAACGCTGCACGCTCATACTCTCTCCCACACTCGATATGTGATCCATTGTTGATCTGCACACAGCTGTTGTCACTAACGGCGCACTCGCTTACATCACTGTCCTCGCAAAAAATCACGGTTTTAGTAACGCAGTAACGCAGCGTTCCTACGGGAAAGTAACGGTAATCTAATTACCGTTTTCGCGATAGTAATCCCTTACTTTACTCGTTACTTGTAACGCGTTACTGCCCATCTCTGGATACCAGTGCCTCTAACATTAACATCAACATATACAAAGAGACACTCAGGTGTACAGGAAACTTGGTGCTCAGGATGAACATGTAACTAGAACCTACCTAGAAACAGTGAACGAACAGCAATGCTGCATCACCCTAAAATGCTGTATTTGCCTTTGAAAACAAGGAGAATTCAAAAGATCCCGATATGACCTATGTTGCACTATGAGGGCAGCCAAGCGGAATTAGAGAGACAAGGTACAGACACGGCTCAGCAGTAACAACTCTGAGAGCATGTGGAAGGAGCACTTTACACTTTGTAGGTAAGCCCAGGTGCACAGCCAATGTCACCGTCTTGCTCCACGATGAGGTACATAAGTTTTCTGCCCATTTTGAGAGTCAGAACGCCACTCTCCCTAAGAGGCCTTCCAAAAACGTTAAGGCTGGCACTCTGATCATTAAAGAGGATGACGCACAAAGTTTTTTCCAGCATGTCAACACCTGTAAAGCAGCCAGACCCAGCAGTATCCCCATCAGAGGATGCAGCTCACAGGAGTCTTTTCTTTCTCTCCCTGCCTGTTGTCCCCTCCTGTTTTAAATCATCAGTCATTGTGTGTGTTCCAAGAAAGAGTAAGGTAATATGCTTAAATGACTGCCACCCTGTTCTCCATCTATCATAGGAAAATCAATTTGAGATGCAGATGAAGTATTTTATTCCTGACATTTTGTCACCCAATCTGGACCTGATACATTTGCCAAGAGGTATAGCTTCACTGATGATGCTTCACCCACAACACGTCATAACACTCTCAGTGATGTGCCAATAAATCGTATATATTTGAGCACAGCATGCATTACCATAATTCCCTAAAGAATCAACACTTAAAGGCCTTGGACTTAACCTCTGCAGGAGGATTGTGAACTTGCTCTCAAGCCAACACAAAGTGGTGAGGATTGCCCCTGTGACTATGTCCTGATCTTCCTCCTATCCTCCCAATATTCACATTATCACACAGATCCAGATTAGAAGTTACGATTGCAGATGACACATCAGTGATTGGCTTAATTATCAGCAGCTTCTCAAGCTAAATGTCAAAACAAAGGACTTTAAGAAGAAAGAACATTATCAGCTGCATGTATGTCCTTTGAAGCTTATATACCCATTGACATCACATGGGACCTACTTGTTAAAGGAAAAATACCCATAAAACATAAATCCTGTAATGTGATTGTAATTTAATTGCTATACCGGTAATTATCTGTGTTTGTTCTGACTGTAATTTCTTTTTGACTGGGGACAAACACATTGACTTTACCTTTTAAAACTGCTTTTTTTTTTTCTTTTTGAGTCTCAGACAGGTCAAAGAAATTGGTCTGCACCTTTTTTTGTTATAAATCTTCTGTCTGGGTCTGGAGAAGGTGGTGGTAGTAACCCAGCAGATTAGTCACTTTATGCTTTCATCAGGTCATTCTGTCTTTTGCTGCTACATAATGACATGAGGCATTTCACCTTGTTGGCTGATGGATCATTTCTTTCACTTGGCCATTACAATTTGACTCTCTCATATGCACACACACACTCACATGCATACTGCTCAAAAAATTAAAGGAACACTTGGGTCAATGTCACTACTGGTAGCATGTGGTAGAGGTTGTCTAGAGACAGTACAGAGGTTGCACAGGTTGTCCAACTCCTCTAGGATGGCACATCAATACAAGCCATTACAAGGTTTACTGTGTCTCTCAACACTCTCAAGAGCATAGAGGAGATTCCAGGAGACGGGCAGTTACTCTAGGAAACCTAGAGCCTTAGAAGGTCCTTAACTCCTGGGCAGGACTGGTATCTACTCCCTTGTGCAATGAGGAACAGGATAAAGATGCCAGCTACAAAATGAAATCCAGCAGTCCACTGGTGTGAAAATCTCTGGCCAAACAATCAGAAACAGACTTAACAAGGGTGACTTGAGGGCATAATATCCTTAAGTTGGCCCTGTGCTCACTGCCCAGCACTGTGGAGTCCAATTGGCATTTGCCATAGAATACCAGGTCAACCACCAATGCCCTGTGCTTTCCACAGATGAGAACAGGGGCGACATTATGAAGGCAGTTCCATACCACTGACTGGCCGTCATGCTCGCCTGACCTAAATCCAGCAGAACACCTCGGGGACGTTATGTTTCAGAACATCCCAGTGCTGCCACGTTGCACCTTAGACTCTCCAGGAGCTCAGTGATGCCCGGTCCAGATCTGAGAGGAGATCCACAAGGACATCATCCATCGTCTCATTGGGAGCATGCCCCAATTAATCAGTTAGCATTGCATTAAAAAGTGCATTAAAATATATTTATAAATTTTTTGTAAAACATTGCAATAACAAAATATAAAATAGTATAAAAACATGTAGGCCTAATTGAATTTAACAATGTATTAATAATACATTGCATCCTTATAATAAGAACCTTATTAAAAAGCATTGCTGCTTTTATTGCTACTTTCCAATTGTAGCATAGGTTTTGGCTCTATTTTTGTTGACTATATATACAAACTTCAGTCATAAATTTTAAACATTGGTTGACTTTTAATTTGTATTATTGGTACTTTAAAAAAGGAGGCTCTTTAAAAATAAATTCAAATTAAGCCAGTTAGGCTTAATAATTAATTATGCCAGCTACCTTTTATTTAATGCAAAATGCATTTTGGTTCACTGCAACTGCTGCTAGTCTGACTGTTACAAGTTGTCTTCCTTTTACAGTTTTTAAAGCTTGCAAAAGCTTGTTTTGGCCACTCCGTCTGCAAAGATAGACATTTTTGGATCATTAGACATCAGGAGATTGATTTTTCTGCCATGATGCATTTGATCCTTGTTTCGCTATGCACTATGCCTCCCATCCTGTGACACAAATGGTTATTTGAAAATATGAATCCACCTTTAGTCATGCTGACAGTTGCAGACAGGACTGAATCAAGTGCATAGATTTAGAAGGTTCATACTGATTTTTATGTGAGTGCTTTCAGTGCTCAATTATTCCTTTTAAAAAAATTTTTACTTTGCATTTCCTGACATCAAAACACGAGCTGCTCTCGCTGCTAACTGCCACACAGAAAGAGATGGACTGGAGTTGCGTTTACAAGAACATGATGATGAGAAAGCATTCACGAGGGATGGAGGAAAATTCACCTGTCCTAAGGCCCCAAACAAACACACATCAAAGGCCAAAACCACATGGGTGCACACATATGCACTAAGTGTATGCACACACTGTCTCTGATAAACACACACATTTATTTGAAGCAGTCTTTATCACCCAAGGCGACTGGCAACGAGATCCATTTTGTGTGTCCAGCAGCAGTTTTTCCATTAGACCTGATGAAATGTCCAAACTATAATGGACCTGAAGAAAGGCTGCATTAAGGCACAGTGGTTTATGTACACAGGCCAGACTGGATAAAAATGTTTCTCTGCTCCATAACAGGATGCCAAAAGTTAATGTTTCCCCATTTCCTTCTGTGTGTTCGCTGGGTGTGAGTTTTGTTAAAACGTTAAGTGCGGGTTCTGGAGGGTTCTACTTTTTTGATAGTCAGACATTTAATTTCCTGCATTTTAATGCGTCAGTTTTCTGCATTTATTTATAGAGTAAAGGTATTTATTTATGGGTTAAAACACAAATTTTAAGCCCCAGTATAACAGAATATTATGCAGTACAACTTTCAGGCAATCTGTATTGCTTTCAAATATTTATTCTTGTGTAAACAAACCTTTCTCATTTAATATTATCCCTGCTGAGCCAATACAACACATACAGGCATGGTGCACTGCTCTGCTGTATTTTGTGTCTTTTGTTTTGGAAAATGATTCATGTTTGCACATGGCACCCTGTGATGCGTGTTCTATTAAAAAAAAGTTGCACTGAGTTTTTAATAGCTCATATTCATATACTTTATTTTAAAAAAAAGTTTTTTAAAAAGTAAACGTAATCTAGACTTCCTTGGTTCTCAAATCTTTTTGGGAGGGAAAAATTCCTCCTCTTGCCTTCTGGCTTCTCCATGATTATTAACCTGGCAGCATGTGCACAGCACCAGAGGTGAGGAGTAGATGCTGCATGTTGCTGACTGAGATCACAACACTGTGTTTCTGTGTGTCTGTCTGTGATTTAATTGTGTTTGCCACAACATTTGTATTTTTTATTTATTTTTCTAAAATATTAATATTTTTGGAGTGAAAATAGACTGTGCAGAGAAGAAAACATCCAACCCTGTCGGGCAGATATTTGATGTAACATTTTAGCAGGTTTTTCAGAATAAAAGTTTATTTATTTAGGTTGACAAATACAAGTTTAAATATTTAAGGAGGAGACGTCACGTCTGCCCTCTTTGAAATCTCTGCCTTTGTTCTGTGCGCTCCTTTTTGCTTCTTCTGTGTGCATATTCACCTATTCATATTCTCTTTTGTTTTTTGTGCCTGTGTGTGTTTGTGTATGTAGATTTTTATCGGAGAGGTGTCCATGTACATGATGAAATCAACGAGGGAAGCTCTGTTGGCCCAGGAGAAAACAATAGTGACAGGAGACTGTTGTTACCTCAACCCCCTCATCCGCCGCATCATACGCTTCATAGGTAAGAACCTTGTATTGCAATGTACTCTAAACTGCCCTAAGGCCACTTGTGCTAATGGTACCAGACAGTGACTGAAAACTCTGAATACACATGAAAAGTACTTTGGGCTTCAGCATGTGTAAGGTCCCACCAGTATTTGCCTGGCGCATCACCTCAGTGCAGCTGCGATGAACTGAAAGACCGGAAAATTATGGATCACTGATCTGATTGAAATAATTTCATTCAGTTCTCCACAAAGACTGTGTGTAGAATAAGGGATCAGATTAGTATTCAAAAGCGCATTAGCATGCAATTCTGTGATCCATCACAATAAGACTCTGCTTGTGACTTCAGCCTTGTTTTGTTTAATTTAATACAAAACTATATGAGCAATGTTTATTAATGGCATAGCTCAATAAAAGTTGCATCTGCAACATCAGCCAAGCCTTAACCACGACACAGCATGCTGTACATTCACAACTAAACTCAATGTCGGTGCTGTCAGTCACCTGTGAGGGGAGCTCCAATGCAGACAGCCATGGATTTAGCAACCCTGATGATTTACACCTTACACCTTGAAAAAACAAACTTTTTTAACAGTTCTGATTTATCTGGTACTTCAGTAAAGAAAGGGGCTCTCAACAAACATGGCCATCAAGGAGCAAAACAACTGTGACATGTGTGTCTGGTACTGACTTTGTTGCTGTAATGTTGTCGAGTCACAGTGATGTAGTGTGTTGAACAGCTGTAGATAAAATGGAAAAACTTTTTTAAAAAATGACATGGTAGCTGAATGATGACTTTTCTTTTTTTACAGTGAAGCTGGATAATGTTTTTGGCTCAAGTATCAAGTAAATATAATTTGAACCAATGCGTTTAAATGATGTTGACTGCTTAAGCATCAGATGTCACATTTTAATTAAATTGAAATATGCTGCTAAATAGGGCTGGGCTATATCATACCGTTCACGGTAATACTGGTGTAATTTTGGGCAACGATAGGAAAATGAAATATCGCGATAGAATATGGGTAAAACGCATGCACAGTGCCTTTGTTTACATACGCACATGGCGGCGACGCAGAATGAGAAGGGCGAAAGTGGATCGTTAAATGAAACGGATGAACCAGAATTGGTTTGTAAAAATGCTGCAACTTCAGTGGTGTGGAACTGGTTTAGCTTTCGTCCGTCAGATACACAACAAAGCACTATTTTTGGTAGAGCATGCTAGCGGGCCGTCGTTATTACCGTGTTTTTGGAAAATATGGCACACTTAAAATCAATCCTTTGATTTTTCTGAAAATCGACAGTGCCCCTTATAATCCCGTGTGCCTTATGTATGAATTCTGGTTGTGTTTACTGACCTCGAAACGATTTTATGTACACGGCGCTCGAAAATCTGTCAAATGTTTCAGTACGACTTTGCTAAGCTACGAAGCCGCACCGCTTGATGGATTGTCGGAGCATTACGGCTATCGTAGGCAGGAGCCTCGCGGAGTGATACGTACTGTGCTTCAACATAATATTACCGTATTGTGTGTGTATAACCTCTTTTTAAGTTTTGTGGATATTATACATGGTTATGCTGAGGATATGTCGGCCAATTTCCACTGGAAATGCCTTTTGGTTAAACTGTCAGCAAGGAATTTGCACTGTTATATTTTTATATAACTTTAAATGCACATAAAAACAGCTGCTTGTTTAAGTGAAAATACATTGATGGGGTTTTTTGCATTAATAAAGTTGTGGAGTTGTGGAATTTTTAAATGTATATTGTGATAAATATTTTTGGTCATATTGCCCTGCTCTACTGCTAAACTCAGTGAGGCTCAACTGTTATGGGCAAAGATATGTGATATTAGACTTTTTCACCAGAACGCTGCCCAATGCAGACCAGTGACCAAAGGCCAGGCAAACACTGGGATAGAGAAACCTCTCATGTAAAATAATGTTTGTGGAGAAGCCTTTGCTTTTACTGATGTATTTCAAATATTGCTTACATGTTTTTGTATGGTAAGCTAACAGCTGTTATCATGGAAAAGAAAGGAAATTAAATATATTTTAAAAACAAGGACAAGTCCGTGTGTCAATTTTCTATAAAAGCTCTATAAAACCTTTGAATTTTGATTATTTTATAACAACGCTTTACCAGAATTGGGCAGACAGACTCTGTTCCAGTAGAGAGAGTCTGCTGGACTTTCCTGTCATAGTTGAAGAAAAAAAACTTTACAAAACACATTAGAAATTCAATCAGCAATTCACCTGATTTATGTTTTGAGACCTGTTAAATTGGTGAAATTGTCAAGGCATTTCCTGCTCACTTGTTCCCTCCCCTCTCTTCTCTCACTCTAACCCCCTCCTCCCCCCAGTTCCCTCATTGCCCTTCACACAATCATGTCCCCGTGCCCCTCAAAACCTCCCTCTGCGACTCCCTCACCCCACCCGCCTGGATGACAACACAAAGCACATTAATTTCATGGCTAAGCAAGCTAGATAATCAGCAGTCATATTTCACAGCAAAAGGAATGCAGACGTAGACACTGGTCAGTGTTAGTGGGCTGAAAGTGTCAGCGCCATCATTTATATTAAACGCTATCTTATTTTTATGGTCTGTATTTGGCTTGCTGTTGTCCATTTTTCCTCACCTTCCATTTCAACATTAGTTAACTTGCACTTTGTTTTGATTCAGACTGGGTGGTCTGCATCACTCAGACAGACCACCCATTCTGTCTGAGTGATGCAGACCACACTGTGACATCTTCAGTGATGTCTGCACACACACACAATAGTCACGATTTAATGTGGTGGAACTGGGAGCTAGATAAACACCCACACTGGAGGGTGATAACTTATATAAACCCTTCTGTGTTTATTTGTGATTGTTTCATTGCTCTGTGTTTGTGGCTTTTCACGTGCTCTTCTCTCCTCTCCCGTCTGTGTGTCTGTGGTGCCGCAGGTGTGTTTGCATTCGGTCTGTTTGCTACAGACATCTTCGTCAATGCAGGCCAGGTGGTGACTGGAGGTCTCTCGCCCTACTTCCTGTCTGTTTGCAAGCCCAACTACACTGGCACCGAGTGTCGCTTTAATCACCAGTTTATCGTCAACGGCAACATCTGCACCGGGAACCACGTGGTGGTGGAGAAGGCTCGGCGGTCGTTCCCATCTAAGGACGCTTCGCTGAGCGTTTACTCTGCCGTTTACCTGACGGTGAGAGGACCACACCTTATCCTTTATTTCAGAGACAAAAAAAGGCTTGAAAAAACATTTTATAAAACGTATATCTAATGTAATGACACAGTATATGTTTAATTAAACAGCATGCGATATATTTTAAGGCATGTGTGTAACGATATATGTGCATTTAGGTGTATATTTAATTTCCTTTCATTCTCCCTTTGTAGCACGTGAACACTCACGTTTGTGTTTGTTTATCCCATTTTAAATTAGAAACCAACCAATAATGTGTAGACAAAAAAAATTCTCCAGGGATTCAACCTGAGCATAGTTAATTAAAAGCAATGTCATGTTCTAGTTTAGAATAGAAGGTAATTGGTTTACTCGTCTGTGGGGAAAAAAACCAGACAGAAAATATATAATTTGAGCCGGGCTGCTAAAAGTTGTACTGCACATACCTGTACCGTATGTGGAGTTAAAAACTACTGAGTAAGAAGGAGTATTTGTTATAAACACAGCACCTTCGGTTCTTTGATGGAGGAATTGGCAAGGAGGGACTTCATGCTATTTGAAATTGAGGTGAGGAATATTTCACACTAGCACAGCGACAGTTTAGGCGTTTTTAGAAAATTGGCTGGAGGTCGCATGGAAAATTACTTTTTGAAGCAATAATTGAAGAGCAGCTGTTTGACATCTGAGTGACAGGGTGAGGGCCTCATCTTTGGAAAAAAGAGAGTGGAAGTGCAAATTTTATCAACAGGAGCAGGAGGAATACAAGAACAGATTGTTGTTGATGAAAATGAATTCGATACCTTCGCTACTTGATTGGAATTGGGGCTGCACGATTAATCGTTAGAAAATCGCGATCTCGATTCATACTTATGTGCGATCTCATTTCCAAATGACAACGATTAAAAAAAAAAAAAAAAAAAGACGACGATTGTACCGCATTTTGATCCGGGACGTACTCTGCATGAAAACAAGCGCTCACTCTTCCTGCTCAACAAATGACAAGGGCGGAGCCTTATACCACGTGATACAGAAGCTGTGCCGTGTGATGCTAAAATTAGCAGGGAAAAAACAACGGAGAGCACGTCAGGGATGACGAGAAAGTGACAGGAGAAAATCCGTCCCGGTCAACCACCCAAACATCAATAACGGGAACCTTATACAGCGCTTCCCTATACCCGTCGAACTCCCGCAGGCACAAAGAAATTACGGAGGCTATCACTTATCACCTGACCAAAGATATGGCTCCCATCAACACTGTGCAAAACGAGGGATTTAGGAAAATGATCAACACCCTAGACAAACGCTACACAGTGCCGTCCCGCAACTATTTTTCTATTGTTGCACTACCTGCTCTATACACGCAGCGTCGAGCAACGGTGGAGACGGAATTTCAAGCAGTACAACATTTTGCGGCAACAACAAAACGTGAGACATTTGTTGTTTTTATGTTTATTTATTGTTTTTATGTTCAGTCTCAACTGTTACGAAGTTGATGTGCAGTTAATAAGTGCAATAAATATTTATACTGGAAAAGAAAATCGTGAGAGAATCGTGATCTCAATTCTAAGCCAAAAAATCGTGATTCTCATTTTATGCAAAATGTGCAGCCCTAATTGGAATAGAGGTAGGTGAAAGTTCAAGAGGTGAAAATATATGCAGGTAGACCTTTTTGTTTTTAAATGCTGACAGTCCTCTCGCTTATTAATGGGTTCTCTTGTTAGGTTCAATTTTTTATTCTCTGTGGGGGAAAAAAGATGTCTCTGTTTTGCAGAATCTTGCACTACTATGATGTAACTTTTTCACAGCCTTCCCTGACTGATTTGCTATACCATGGGGGCTTTGCACTATTTTGAAATGGTAAAATATTTGACTTTATTTTAGTGGGAAAACCTCCAGTTGTTCTGCATGGGATCTCTGTTCCTAATCCACCTAAACAGAAGAGCAGGAGCCTGTTTTTTTTTTTTTTTGGTTTTGTTTTCGTTAAAGACATTTGGGACAAAGAACAGTCTAATCTTTCCACCTTTCTCCTTCTAGATGTACATCACCAGTACAATCAAGACCAAGTCCAGCCGCTTGGCCAAACCAGTGCTCTGTTTGGGCACACTCTGCTCCGCCTTCCTCACCGGCCTCAACAGAGTTTCAGAGTATCGAAACCACTGTTCAGATGTAGTGGCTGGATTTATACTGGGATCAGCTATTGCATTGTTTCTGGTGAGGACTACTAAAACTTGCATTAGGTTTGGGAAGGTGGTGGAGAAGGGGTCGGAGAAGAAGAGAGAAAAGAGAAGGTGGATTCTGGTCATGAGCTACTTTCAAATTATAATATTCATTTTGAGCTTAATTTTGGAACAAACCCAAACTGGTAATTGGATGATTAATTCAAGCTGCAGCTTCCCAGAGCCTTTAACGTGGGTTTGTTTTCATTTCAAAGTCAACCATGTGAAAATTTATGCCTTAAAATTCTTATATACAGCAAATATTTTTATGTATATCTTTGATGAAATTCATTTTAGTGACAGTACAAGTGTTGGAGAGGGCACCAAGTATACAAAAAGGTGAAAAAAGAATGAGGTGTGATTTATGTTATGCTCAATAAAGGTTTAGATAAAGGTAATTTAAGCTACATTGATCAAGTTAAGAATACACTGGCTGATTGTGGGGTATTGGAGAAGATGAAAAGAAGAAGGAAGTGAACAACCCAAGATTCAACCTGAAATCTGTAAGCGCAAGGACAAAAAAAGAGAAGAAAAATGAGGTAAACACTACTTTTAATTAATTTTTAGATCGTGGAGGTAACCAGTGATGTGATTAATTCAGATTCCGTACTCCAGAGGTTAGGCATCCTGTTATTTACCTTCGTAAAATAACTGCCGTAGCAGTTGCTGAGGATAAGATGTGCAAAGTGGGCTCATCTTTCCAAGCAAGACAGCAGTTTCACTGGGCTGCTGTCCATAATGTAAAATCAACATCAGTTGTCCTGCGAGATTTAGTCAAACTGCTTGGCTTCTGCTGCAAGTTAATGTGCTTTTTTCAGACTATTCATCATATTTTATGCTGTGATTAAATGCAGGGTAATAGTTGCAACTTAAACTGATCACGTTGTTTTGTGCTGAATGGGAAAGCTCACTCAGGAGAAAGGAAGGTGAAGGGGACCCCCACCCCCTGCCCCCACCATCCAAAAAGATTTATTTAATAACCTCAGAGGCTTCATTACTTATAATTGCCGCTGAGTCCTGAGTGCCAATGCGGGAGACACATGGAGGAGAGACTCAGATAAGAAGAAGAAGCTAGAGGTTTGTTATTTATACATTGGTTGATATGAGGGGAAAATCAGTCCTTTTACAGCTGTCATCGGTCTACAGTGATGGTATTAAAGTGCTAATGTTTAATATATGTAATGTTTTAGTAGAGTGTATGCTAAACTAATTAGAACTAAATACCAAGGACAGCAGAGATTAGTGAAAATGCCAGAATCTCGATTTGGTCACGACTCAAAAAGTGGGGGGAAAAAAAAAAAGGTCACAAATTAAGAGTCTGACTCAATATTGCACCAAAGAAAGTTAGTGGCATTGGAATAGTGTGATTTACATGTGCAGGTCAAGCTTGGTCTTGGTTATTCGTTAAATAATTCCTGCTGCGGTGCAAAACAGTCAGGTTCAGTGTGGTCACATCTTTTTCTTGCTGCATAATAATAATAATAATAATAATAATAATAATAATAATAATAATAATAAAAATAATGTATACTTTATTGATCCCCGTGGGGAAATTACTCTTGCTCATTTGACCCATTCACCCAGTGAAGCAGTGGGTAGCCACTCAGCAGGTGCACCGGGGAGCAGTGTGTAGGGACTATAGCCTTGCTCAGGGGTATCTCAGGGTAGCCGTTCAGTGGATTCAAACCCCTGATCTTCCGATCATGGGGCCACCACTCTACCTACTGAGCTATCCCCGCCCCTGCCCATGAGGAGGTGGATCCACTGCACCAGCTTCTTTGATAATTGATAGTAGCTTTCAGTGATTAAACTGTTAAAAGTGATATACATTATGCCATTGATCTTCAGGAAAAGATAAAAGGAAATGGGGTTGTCTGTGCAGGTTCTCACCCATCCAGGTCATGGTAGTCTTAAGGGCCTTGAAGTGTAAGTCTAGTTGCCTTTAACTCAAGTGCTTAAAGAAAAGGAAATCTGTCATTACGTCATTGAACATTATTTTCAGTTTATTATCAGCATACCATGAATGAAGGTTGACCATATTCCCCTGTATTTGCCTTATATTTACAATGAAGCTTATCAAACTCGTTTCACATGAGAACTGAGCCAAGTTGATGGACTGCTATCTTGCAGGAAATGAATTGATAAAGAGAAAGCTGAAAGCAGGTATAGTCTAAATCCTGCTGCTATCAGTGCTCACAGAGAGGAGATCTGAATGGACTCACCAAACAGCAAATGCCTTTGGTCTTTCAAGAGATTTGTCCGCTGCCAGCAGATTGAGGGATCATTGTTAAGAACTTGGTTTTAGAATTGGCTCCGGGGTGATGTTGGTAACATAAGATATAAAGCTGTCCACTTGATTCAAGGGAAGGCGCATGCTGACTTGCTGAGTCTAATAGAAGCTAAATCCCCTGAAATTTGAAAGTGGTTCCAAACGAATTCACAGCATGTAGAAATGACACCTAAAAGGCATGCATGACTCATATAAGTCGCAACCACTGTAAGAGGTAATATTACAATTCATCTGCTATCAAAGATGAATTGATAAAATAGGGTCTTCAATTATCTGCATAATGGGCAGTGTGAAGATAGAAAATAACTTTGTAAGGGTGAAGATGCAAACTGTATCACTTTGCTGCTTCGAAGTACAAGAGTGTGACTGGATTGGGATGGAGATTTATGCTGATACATGAAATTATGTAAAGCATAAGATCATATGGTTACATTCAGTTCAATCAATTCAATTCAGTTTTATTTATCTAGATCCCAACAGCAGTCACCTGGAGGCGATTTATATTGTAAGGTAAAGACCTGACAATAATACAGAGAAACCTGAAACAATCAAACAACCCCCTTTAAACGAGCACTTGGCAGGAAAAGGATGGAAGGAAAAACTTCCTTTTAACAGGAAGAAAAGTCCTGCCACAACCGGTTGACGGTGAGGGGACAAAAAACACAATTAAATAACCGTTACTGAACAGTGCATCTCAGGTGATGGTGCAAAGTAATCCAAAGTCATTTCATAACCACCTCAACAAACTACTTTCCACAGGGAGGAAAATAAAATAAATAATACATTGCATTGAGTGCTGAACCACCAACACAGTTTCAAGTTTCTTTTAATCACAAGTCTGGGGAAAAAGCAGCATTTTTCTGTTGCAAAAATCTGAGACCAGGAAAGTTTCTAAATGATTTTTCAATTCAGCGTTTCAGTGGCAATCTTCAGATTCACTTTGTCTTCATCTGAAACAGTAGGCGGCAGTTCACACACATCTGTTTTTGCATGAATGACAGGACACACAATGGGGAATGAAAAAGCAGGAGGTGGTTCAGTTTAATAGAAATGTGTTTACAACAGCCACATCAACATGCAATTTAAACTTGTTGTGATAAAAATGTAAAGAATTGTCAAACAGGATAGTTATTTGTAAATTCTGCCCTAGGAGCTATAATTCACTCATTTACTTGGTCTGGGAGCTCTAGAAATTCAATGCCCATGAACAGCCACAAACAAGAAAACCTTGAGCTTCCTCCTGCTTCATTTTCTCCTTTGCTGCTGCCTGAGGGCACGGTTGGTGTCTGGTGGGGTGGGATCTCCCTCAGGCTGCCTTCTTTGATTAACTAGTCTGTGGAGGAGTTAACAAAGACTGCAACCTTACTGGTGTCTCTACCATTAAAAATTCTGACTAGTGGACAAAATGGAAAAAATACAATTACCTCTAATTTATAAACGTATAAATGAAGAAACAGCATCTGTTTTCTGCACCTGTTAGCCCACAAAGATTAGCACCCTGAAGCATTTCTGCTGGCTAGATGAAATGATATCCAGCTTTAAGGGACTCACGCAATGTTTGATTGCTCTTTTATACTCATATAAGCGTTATATCACTGCAGTAAAAGTTCTGATGTGGAAATGTAGCCACGTCACACCAAAAAAAAAAAAAGAAAAGAAAAGCCCACCAGAGAATTTTTTAAGGTAGCAAAAAACCCTATAACAGCTGGCTCTTGCTGCGGCGTTTAAAGCTGAAAGGGAACAGGATGTTAGTTTTCTGCAACGTTTGTAGGTACATGACACTGTATGGGGGAGGGCACTGTAAGATCAAACCAGCAATCCTGAAAATGAAAATAACAACCAAAAGGGAGACAGCCTGCTCCAGAATGCCCTTTGATCAGCAGACTCACACTGGGCTTCAGACCTCCATTAGCTCTTTTATTTTTAAAAAATCCACCAGATGGGGCCCTGGATTTCTTTTAAAATTTAAAAAAACAAATACTAATTGTCAGATCGGTGGCTAGAGGAACCTGTACCTTAAAACAACATCACAGCTCATGCCTCCAAACAAAATGACCGAGGTCATCCAAGCTCCTTGCGACTGGTCTGTATGAAGCAAGACTGTAACATGAAGATGCATCAAAATTGACTGCATAATATCCCCTTGAACAAAACTAATTTTTTGGGCGCTCATCCAGTAGTTCAGTCCAGCCCTTAAGGATTATAATGACATTCATAAATAGAGAGACGTGTTTTCCTTTCCCTCAAATTCACATGCATTTTTGGGAACAAATGTTATTTGGGAGAGGGGATCGCTCTCTTTTACTTTCTCTCTCTCTCTCTAACAAACACACACACACACACACACACACACACACACACACACACACAC